CGTCAGCTTTCCTGCTCCCCTGATGCTGCTTGGCCTGCTGTGTTCATCCAGCTCTACACCCTGTTATCTCATATCTAAACTCATCTGCTTTTATTCAAAGACACTGCTTACCTAGTTGTGATTTGCGAATTGTTGTCATTGGTCTTTGTGATGTTAATCAGTGAGTGGTAGTATAAGGGTGCACGATGTATAACCATCTTATTTCAAAGTAGCCTAGGAATTGTGAAAATTTTCCCATCTAATTTACCTTCTACCATCTTGATGAAACAACGATAAAGGAACTGTTGATCAATCATTGTAATCAACCTTCATCATCAAGTTTAGAGCAGGCCTACAAATGATATGGAAACCCTAGTAGTGTGGAAATGTCCAGAACCATAGGTCAAAAACATTTTTTAACCAAAACAGACCGCTCTTATCTTTCCCAGTATTCCCTGTCATCATCATCAGCAATTCCCCAGACACAAGGATGACCTTTGTCAGGCTTGATGAGTGCTGTGATGACTCTGAAGCCCAAATTTGGATCCATTGGATTTCCTACAGTGGCAGCAGATTGTTGTGAGGATAAGTGAAATTCATAGCATCCGTCCTGTTGACTTCCTTCTCCTCTGGCACCACCACTCCACCTCATATTTCAGTTAGTCAATACAACAGCCTTATAGATCGAGACTACTTCTGTTGACTTTAAAGACCCTGTTATTGAAAAAGTTTTGTAGCTTGACTAACACTGGCATAGTTGACATAGTGCTGGACTACTTCATACATTTAATATCATTTATTGCAAGTTTGGGTTTCTGGTTTGAGACTTAGTAATTTGAGAGTTTTCAACATGTTGTAGTTAAAAATTAACTTCATTTCTGTAGCCATGCTGATTTTTTTTTAAACAGTTGAGGCTTTAGAATGAATGGTGATTTATGCATTAGAAGGTAAATAGTGAGTCCTGGGTTTTTTAGAGAACTTTCAACAATTTTAAAGATTTAACGAAAACACCCATATAGCTTATACAGGGAGACTTTTCTTGTCAGGTTTTACTTTGAGAGGAATAATCCAGTGAAGTCCCTGGAATAGACTGGTTGTATAGAGAAATGCTCTGTTGAGAAGGAAAGGGTATAGTGAACTAGACCAGCTTTGAGTGAAGAGTCAGTATTAGTCCCAGTCTAAAATCATTGGGACTAAACCTTGAAGAGGCTACTTAAAAGCTATATACATTTGAGCAGGTGCATAATAGCTTCTTTCTGTAACTATCTGCTTTTAATTCGAGTCTCGACAAAAAGTTGAAGTTACAAGTGACTTAAATCTAAAAGGTGTTACAATACTCCCACCAGAGTCCCTATAAGAGTGATGTTTTGGGTACACACAAAAGCGGTTTTGTTTCTTTTTGATTTATAAAGGAGTTTTTGGATTAATAGGATTATACTTTTGTTGCGTTTAAAAAAATTTGATTTTGTGATATAAATAGATGGTTTGATTTATTCTACATTTAACATCATCTCTTTTCTTAATAAACCTCTATTTGATAGTTAAAGCAAAATCTGCAGAACTGCACGTGCATATTTCACTGATGGCCTGGTGGTATTATCATTAGACTGTTAATCCAGAGACCCAGATAACGTTCTGGGGACCCGGGTTCGAATCCCGCCACGGCAGATGGTTGAATTTGAGTTCAATAAATATCTGGAATTAAGAACCTAATGATGACCATGAATCCACTGCCGATTTTCAGAGGAAAAACCCATTTGGTTCACTAATGTCCTTTAGGAAAAGAAACTGCTGTCTTTACCTGGTCTGGCTTACATGTGACTCCAGACCCACAGCAATGTGGTTGACTCTTAACTGCCCTCTAGGCAATTAAGAGTGGGGAATAAATGCTGCCTGGACAGCGATGCCCTCATCCCGTGAATGAATAAAGCAAGAACCACATTGTTAAAACCAAATCAAAATATGATCTATCAAGCCACATCTATCGCCTGTAATACCATCAGCTGGGTTCATCACAACATATATTTAGCAAACGGGTTACATGCCTTCACTAAATGAGTAAGAACTTGGAGGTTACACCAGAATTGTATGCAATATACTTATGATTGCACTGGAGACGGTACAAAGATTGAGCAAGACGTTGCCTGGAATCTTTTTCAGATAGGTTAGGGTTGCTTTCTTTGGAGTAGAGCAGCATGAAGGGAGAGGCTATGGGTGTTTTCGTTAGGCCAAAAAAAAAGTTTATAAAATTGAGAGAGGCTCAGATAGAGTGCAGAGAAAGGCCTTATTCATTTTGATTGTGAGATCCATACACTAAATTTATATCTCTGGTTAACAGATAGGAAATTTTTCACCTATAGGGTGGTGATAAACTGAAAGTTACTGCTTGAAAGAGTAGTTGAGCTAAAAGCCATCATAACATTTAAAAACTACTCATATGTATTTGAATTGCTGCACAAGGCTATGGATCAAAAGCTGGAAAATGGAATTATGCTGGATAGTAACTTATCGCTTGGCAGGAACACATGAGGCCAAATTATACCAGTTAAACGGGGTGAATGAGAAAATACTTTTAACACTTTTACTTTTAATTAAATAACATATTAAAAGTCTACGTGCAAAACAAACATGAACATTAAGTTCTTGCTACTTCGGAATGTTAAGTTGAATTCTTTAACAGTGTATCATGCCAAATAACGACACACATACTTTGAAGTCTAACGCATTGGCTCAGGAAGTGCCATAGGTGTGGTTTCGTATTATTGTCCAAATAATAAGGCCAAGGTAATAATTGTCCAAGGTAGGACTTATACAGTAAATAGTAAAGTCCCGAAGAGTGTTGTGGAACAGAGGGACCTAGGAGTACAAGTACATAGTTCACTGAAAGCGGCGTCACAGGTGAACAGAGTGGTGAAGTAGGCATTCGGTATGCAGGCCTTCATTAGTGGAGGCATCGAGTATAGGAGTTGGGACGTTACGTTACAGTTGTATAAGTCATTGGTGAGGTTGCACTTGGAGTGTTGGTCAGTTTTGGTCCCCTGTTATAGGAAAGATATAGTTAAACTGGAAAGTGTGCAAAGAAGATTTACGAGGATGTTGCCAGGACTAGCAGACCTGAGTTATAGGGAGAGGTTCGCCAGGATAGGACTTTATTCCTTGGAACGAAGGAGAAAACGGGGTGACCCTATTGAGGTGTACAAAATCATGAGGGGCATTGATAGGATGAATGCAGGTTGTCTTTTTCCCAGGGATAGGAAATTGAAAACTGGAGACTGTAGGTTTAATGTGAGAGGAGAAAGATTTAAGAAGGACCTGAGGGGCAACTTCTTCAAGCAGAGAGTGGTGCATATATCGAATGGGCTGCCAGAGAAAGTGGTTGAGGTCGCTACAATAGCAACATTTAAGAAACATTTGGATAGGTACGCAAATGGGAAGGGTTTAGAGGATATAGACCAAATGTGGGCAATTGGAACTAGCTGAGTGGGCACCATGGTCAGCATGGGCCGGTATGTGCCAAAGGGTCAGTTTCCATGCTGTATTACTCTATGACTCCATTGTAATTTTCCTCAGTTCCTCCATTCCATTTCCCAAATTACAGCCATTTCCAGGATATGACTTGAATCCTTGCATCCTTTAAAGTGAAGACTGATGCAAAATATTTGCTCAATTCATCTGCCATCTCTTTGTTATCCATCAATTCTCCAGACTCACTCACTACAGGAAGAGCCAACACTCACGGTGTTAACTTATGCACTCATGGAACATGAGCATCACTGGCTGGCCATTATTTATTGTCTATCTATAGTTGCCCTTGAGAAGGTGGTGGTGAGCTGCCTTCTAGAACCACTGTAGGCAATGCGCTGTAGATTGACCCACAATTCCCTTAGGGAAGGAATTCCAGGATTTTGACCCAGTGACAGTGAAGGAACAATGATATAGCTCCAAGTCAGGATGGTGGGTCGCTTGGAGGGCAACTTGCAGATTGCGGTATTCCTATATTGCTACTGTCCTTGTCCTTCTGTATAGAACTAGTCATGGATTTAGAAGGTGCTGTCTAAGGATCTTTGGTAAATTTCTGCAATGTATCTTGTAGATAGTACATGCTGTTACTGAACGTCTGTGGAGGAGGGAGTGAATGCCTGCGAATATGGAGCCAATCAGGCAAGCTGCTTTGTCCTGAACGGTGTCAAGTTTCTTTAGTGTTGTTGGAGCTATGCCCATCCAGGCAAGTGGGAAGTATTCCACCACACTCCTGACTTATGCCTTGTAGATGGTGGACAAACTTTGGGAGTCAGGAAGGGAGCTACTCGCTGCAGTATTCCTAGCCTCTGACTTGCTCTTGTAGCCATTGTGTTTATGTGGTGAATCTAGTTCGATTTCTGGTCAATGGTACATCCCCTTCCAACCCTGCAAGATGTTGATAGTGGGGGATTCAGTGATGATAACTGAATGTCAAGGTGCCAATCATTCACATCTCTAATCTTATTTTCCCTGTACCAATTTGCATGTGGTTCAGGTAATAATCCAGACAGGTTCTGTTTCATAATTTAGTGTCGGGTTCCTTATATGGACTGTGTAGAACCTCTCTTTCCTTAACATGTTTACGTAATTGGCACCTACATGGTCTACACCGACTGCCATCATCCCCTGTCTCTAAATTTTTCTCCAGCCCTGAACAGATATCAAATGTTAAGTATGTCCATAATCAAGTCTTTACCTGGGTTCTTCATCTTTACTTGAACGTTTGGGACCATATTTCTTAACAAGGTTCCTATAAATAAAAATAACATTTAATATTAATACAGGTACATGCATCTTTGTCTGTGTAGTGCTTTAAGGTATCCGAAAATTTTCTAAGTGTTAAAGAAATGCAAATTCATTTTTTCATCATAGAATTCCCACTGTTTCATTCAGCCCAACAAGTCCACACCCACCCTCCGAACAGCATCCAACCCAGACCCATCCTGATAACCCTGTGGCTAATGCACCTAACCTACACATCCCTGAACACTATGGGCAATTTAGCATGGCCAATCCACCTATGTGGTATGCACATCTTTGGACTGTGGGAGGAAACCGGAGCACCCGGCAGAAACCCACAGAGACATGGAGAGAACTTGCAAACTCCACACAGACAGTCACCCGAAGTTGGAATCAAACCCGGGTCCCTAGCACTGTGAAGCAGCACTGCTAACCCACTGAGCCATTGTGGCTAGGGTAACTGCATACTGTTTAAAAACAGGTTTTAAAAAAAAATCTTAGCAGCAAGCTTGAAATTGCTATCTAATAATTGGAAAAATCATATATGTGATATGAAACAAAGATCCCTGGAAAGCTTCATGGTTGTAATAGTTCAAATAACATGTGAAATGCAAGTCACCTTTCCCGAATAAGGCTACTATCTCGTCAAGGAGAGATGACTGCTGGTGAATTTAATCGGAAGGTTACCATGCCTAAGATGAGTGACAAGGTTCTGAAAGCAGGGCCTTCATCGTGACCTCCGTTCGTACGGATTCAATACACACTGTTGGTTCATTCTGCATTGCAAGCTAGTCATCCAACCAACAGAGCTAACCCACTCCAATAAAGCTGAAAATTACTGGTGCAAAACATAAGATAATTGTAAAATATGTGAATTTTATTGTGGTAGAGTGAAAAAGAGCTTGCAGGTGCAAGTCCATGTGTGAACAAAGAAAATGTACAATAAAAGTCCTTTACAAATGTTTCCATACTTAAGTGCTACCCCTGAAAAATTTCAGACTGGGCAGAGGATATCATTACAGTATTTCATCTTTTAATAAAGACTGCTGGCCCCTTAACATATTAACATATTTTATATCCACTTAATTTCACAATTGACTGCATTGTTTACAGACAACACACTGTTACTGTGAAATCTGTTCACACTTTCAGGGGATTAAGGTCCCAAGAGTTATGTAATTGACATAAGTTGCACTCTTGTTACAGGTATAAAATAATATTGGGATTTACCGTGTGATGCATTTGTGTTCCAGTTCAATGAATATTTCTTTTAAATAATTGAGAATGTTTTAGCTTTTTAATTATAACAGTACAAAGGAGAGTGGAAGCCTGTTGTAAAATTGTTTAATATAGTGGACATTTGTTTACAGGGCAGCAGGTTCATGTCTTCCAAAAGAAAATCTTTATTTAGTCTTCACTTGCTCGTTAAAAATGGCTAAAAATAGAAATTTTCTTACTAACGTGATGCAGATATGAGGAACGGACCTTCCACTGTACAATTACATACAAATGTACGAACACGAGGAAATGACCACGTAGCCCATCTAGCCATATTTTGTGCAGCTTTGTACATTATCTGTCTTTCCCAGTTAGTCAGTATTTTGGACCAGTGGGGAGCCAATGTAAAACCATTTGGCCAATGTAGAATGAAAACGTTATCGCATGAACCAGATCAACACTCCCTTTAAAAATACTGAATTGATCACACGGCAAATCTTCAGTCACTTTCACGAATATTGAGTTGTCAAATATCCATAATCATACGAACAGACACTTGGTAAGTAAGCTTTGGAAAAGAAGTACAGAGCACAAAGGAATTTCTGCATCCTTTGTTAAACAAAACTGCCTGCAGCTTGCTGGAAGTCCAAACTGAGCAAGGTTGTAAATTCAAGGAAAGGTGAAACCGACATCATTAAAGGGATTTAATGAAGCAAAAAGATACAGCATGACAGAATAGATATTTGCATTAAGAATTAGATCAACTACAGAAAGCAATAAGGTGGGAGAATGTAGATTAGATTCGAAGACAGAAAATATACATAAAGGAAAAGCAAGAAAATTAATTATTATGTATTCTAGAAAGCTCTAAAATTTAACTGAAGTGAGATTTAACGGTTCAAATTGTTCAGTTCCTGAAAAGGAAAGGTCAATCAGCTTTGTATTAACAATTACTACTTCATAAAAATGGCACTCACACTCTTGATTGCCAGGCTTGACTTTCTATCAGCAGTTTAACACACTATCACTGTACAATTTCTACAACAAGAGGAAAGTCAAGGCTATTGGCGCAGAGCCAAAAATGGATCAACAAAAACTGATCGATATGCATAAGAGTCACAACTCATGGTGCGACTTTTGACTTGATATTATCGGCTAGCAAATTTAAGTGCTCATGCTTAATGCATTTATTTTTCCAATAAAATCTGTCCAAATGTGATGCTTAATCATTACAGATATGATTAGCCATCAAATGGTTGATTGTTCAACTAATTCACATGAAGCTTTACTAGGTAAATCAATCTTCAAATTTAACTGAAAGTTTGAAACCACAGCCGTTTCTCACATTCCTAAGTAGCACCTTTACTTTTCTCTTTAAACTGAATGGCCTTGGTTTTGTTATCAGCTGTGGAGGGATAGTGTTGAGCACTGACCTCAGGAATGTTGCCCACAAGAGTTTAGCAAGCTTTAAAGCATCAATTTCCTCTAATCTGATGTAGATTTCAATCTGGTGCATGATCCGTGACATTCAGCAACAGTTAGTCAATCAGATTGAAGAATTATCACTGACAGCAAATCAGAAAATTTACAGTTTGTGTTATAAGATCTTTTTAAATCATTTCATAAAGTAAAATAAAAACTGATGCTCACATAGGATTACAGTGGAAGCTGAAATATCAAACAAACTTTAAAGATTATAGATGATTGGCCTTTTTCAGTGCCACTACTTTTCTATGGCTTTAGGACTGCAATTAGCTGGATAAGAATGAAACGAGACGAGTACAATCCCACCCACCCAGACAACAGTGGAGAGGCATTTGAAGAGGACAAAGCGATCAACTATATTAAAGGTTAGGGACAACTCAGGAGGTGATCATTTAACTTTGGTGAAATTGTACTAGATATAATTTATGACTCTGATACAAGTCAATTGATATTCCAGCAGGGTGGAAAATTAATTAGAAGAATTGAAATGGTGCATTCTGGGAGAGAATGGAATGGATCTGGGGACAACAAGCTCAAGGCCTTAAAAGGCGAGAGGATGTTGAAGATGCAGCACAGGGTAATAAAGGCATATTGAAAACAACCTGAAGGCAGAACTATTAACATATTCAACAAAGCTCAACATTTCACAGCCAGAATAGTGCAGAAAAAGTTGACATAGCAAATGAATATTTGTTATTTATATTTGTAAGAACTACAATAATGAACACTGTGCAAGAATAAGGCAACAACACTGACAGCAACTTTCAGCTCTCCACATTTAACTGTGCACATGCAGTATCAGAAGGTGCTGTCAGTTTCACAGTGATGACAGCGCGTAAACTTCACACGGTCAGGAAGATCACACCTAGAGGGAGACACAGTCTGAGTGAGAACATAGTTCGGGGAATTTGGAGGCAATGTGGTAAATCAATGCAGAGGGGGTCAAAGGTACTTTTTGCTTGCTATTCTTTGGCACATACTTCATTCAGTTGCATGGAAAATTGTCAAAAAAGTTAAATGGTGGGATGACTCAGCACAGGTTACTGAAGTTTACAGAACAAGTAATAGGACAGAGAATGTGGAAAGTGTCAGGAATCTAATTTAAGGCACAGATGAGGGGATAGTCACGAGAAGGCGCAGGGCAGTCAAAACAGCACAGAGGATGCTGTACTTAAATGCACTCAGTAAACAAATAAATGAGCTTGCAGTGCAGATTGAAATTGGCAGGTACGATGCTGTGGGAATCACAGAGATTTGGCTGCAAGGGGATCGGGGTGGGGGTGTCGGCTTGCCTTGTTAGGAAGAAATTAAATTAAAATGTGATAGCGAGAGTTTTATACAGTCAGAAGGCGTAGAACCTGGGTGGGTAGAGTTGAGGAACTGTGTAGGAAAAAATACCCTAAAGGGAGTTGTGTACAGGTCTCCTAGCAATAGTCAGGATGTGGGGAAGAAAATAGATCAGGAGATAGAAAAGGCATGTAAGAAAGGTACTAACACAATAATTACGGGTGACTTCAAATGCAGATGGACTGAGAAAATCAGGTTCAAGAAAGGAATTTGTGGACCATCTAAGAGATGGAGCAGCTGTGGTAGAGCCCAATAGGGAACAGGCAATTCTGGATTTTGAGATGTGTAATGAGGCAGACTTGATTAGGGAGCTTAGGGTGAAGGAAACCTTCGAAAGCAGTGAGGATAACATGATAGAATTCACCCTGCCATATGAGAGCGAGAACTGGAATCAGCTGTAATGGTATTACAATTGAGTAAAAGGTAACTACAAAGACATGAGGGAGGAGCTGGTCAAAGATAATTGCAAGGAGCGCCTCGTAGGGAAGACAGTGGCAAAAGTTTCTGGGGGCAATTCAGGAGGCACAGCAGAAATTCATCCCAAGGAAGAAGAAACATATTAAAGGGGAGGATGAGGCAACCATGGCTGACAAGGGAAGTCAGGGACAATATAAAAGCAAAAGAAAAAGCATTGATGTGGTGAAGATTAGTGAGAAGCCAGAGGAATGGGGAGCCTTTAAAAACCAGCAGAGGATAAGTAAAATGTAATAAACAGAGAAGATGGAATATTAGAGTGAGCTAGCTATTATTACTAAAAAAAACGGCAAGTTTTTTTGAAGATAGCTAAAAGAGGGGACATTGGATTGTTGGAAAATGAGGCTTGAGAAGTAGTAATAGGGAACAAAGAAATAGCGGAGGAAATTAACAGGTACTTTGCATCAGCTTTCATGGTGGAAGACACCAGCAGCATACCAGAACTTTGAGAGAGTCAGGGCGCAGAGGTGAGTGTAGTGGCCACCA